CCGGCACGCGCCCGGCGCCCCCATGGCCGCGCCAACGGCCGCCCGCGAGCCAGGGCCCCGCCGCGGCTCCGCGAACGCTTCCGTCTCGCCGGCCGCCGGCATCCTCCGCCACCGCGTCATCGCGCCGGAAATGACGTTTGGACGTACCCGCGCTGCCGTCCCTCAGTCCGTCCTTCCTTCCTTCCTTCCGTCCGGGTGCCGTCGCGCCGGGTAGGGCTGGAGGCGGCGGACGGGGCGGGGAGCGGGCCCGCCGGGGGATACCAGCGGGAAGCCCCGCGGCCGGAGACAACGAGTTTAAAATGCTGCGGGGGAGGGGAATAGAGCGGCTTCGTGCCTGTGGGGAGGCGCGAGACACCTGTGTGTGACAGCCGTGCCCAGAGACAGGCCGAGAGGAGATGGGCACACACCTGAGTGTAAGGAGTTCCACCTAAACGTGAGGGGGAACTTCTGTACTGTGAGGGTGGCAGAGCCCTGGAACAGGCTGCCCAGGGCGGTGCTGGAGGCTCCGTCTCTGGAGACGTTCAAACCCCGCCTGGACACGTTCCTGTGCAACCTGCTGTAGGTGGACCTGCTTTGGTGGGTGTGTTGGACTAGATGATCTCCAGAGGTCCCTTCCAACCCCATATGATTCTATAAGAGCTGCCGGTCTGAGCTTGGCAGAGGTGGGACAGCTCTCCCAGGAGCAAAATGCACATCACCGACGTCTGACACAGCTTTACGAAACTCCAGGCAGGATAGAAACCTTCGTAAATGATAAACCTTTCAAAGTTACGTGTTACTCAAGAGTTGAGCATACCCAGTGACATTAAAAACAGAATACTGAGAACAGTGAAAAAGTAGGCAGGCAGTATTGCAGCTGAAAAAAGGCTGCTGAGGTCTGAGCATTTTGGAGGGTGTTCACCTTGAGATTGGATCTGAAAATGGGAGATAAAAGTGTCTTCTTTCTGAAATTTTCCTCATAATAATACACTTTCTCAGAGTAATAGAATTCTCTTCTCCCAGGTAATTAGTGATAGAACAAGAGGCAATGGCTTCAAGCTCCAACAGGGTAGATTTAAACTGAACATTAGGAAAGAGTTTTTCATAGAAAGAGTGGTTGGGTGTTGGAATAGGCTGCCCAGGGAGGTGGTGGAGTCACCATCCCTGGCTGTGTTTAAGAGCCATTTAGATGTGGTGTTGGGGGATATGGTGTCGGGCAGAACTTTGTAGAGCAGGGTTGATGGTTGGACTCGATGATCCCAAGGGTCTTTTCCAACCTGAACGATTCTATGATGCTAAGACTGAGAGAAAGTAACTACGAACATGCTGGCGGTAAAGGAATTTGAAACATTATTTTTCTTTAAAATCCATGTACTTAAAGTATCAAACAGTATAGGGATAACATTTTTAAGGTGGAGGTCAGTCAGTAAAACCTATAAAAAATTAAAATGGCAATGAAAATGAATTTGCAACATCACGAAACTTTTAAGCCACGTAAAACCAATGGACATTTTTGTAAACAAGTTTTTTTCTTTTATCCGTGAGACGCAAGGAAGCATCATCACAAATGTTTGGGAAAAAAAAAAGAAAAAACTCCCTTACATTTTTTTTTAATCACTGCCCTTCTTGTGGATTAAATCTATGTACGGCTGCTCTTGGCAATGACATCACCTTTGAAAAATCTCTTTCTTTGAACAAATGTTTGACCAACAGGTTTGTCTCAGAATGCAGTCTTGTTTCACATTGGTCATTTCAGAATCTCTCCTGTTCAAGTCCACTTCAGATATCCCCAACTGGTTCCCATGTTCCTGTAATAATAATAATTTAGATTCAGTAGCATTTAAGAATCATTACAGTTGTCTGCTTTTTTAAGTTCAATTTCTTTTTTAGTTTCTTAGTGATGCACATTTACCATTCCCATAGCAACTTTGTGGGGGAGACTTGTTGCCTGATCATTTCACAACCCTCCAGAGAGCTACACAGCAGAATAATTCCATAGAGCTTTGTCATGTAGGCAAAGATGTGACCTAGACCTATTCTTTGTCAAGAGGAAAGTGCTGTATTACAGAATGACACTGCAAAATACAAGAACTGTACCTAAGTTATAAAATGAAATTTTCAAATCCCATGCTTTCTGTATTTGGAACTGGTTCCTTATAACAGAAAGTTCCTAAACAGCAAATTATGTTTCCCTTCTCAAGAGTTATTAAAAGAAAACCTTGCTGTGATGTCATATGACAGGCTGCATTACAGTAATGCTTGCCATGGGAACTTGAAAAAATGGGTGCAATCTTTTCCATTTGTATTTTTCTGCTTACAGAGGGAGCTTATGTCAATCACATGACTAAAATTATTTTCTCTTCATCACAAAAAGACCGAAACTAAATACCCAAAGTAGGGATATTCCTGGTAAAACTTTGTGTTTGTATTAACTGAAAAAAAGTGTTCCAAATGTCATCAGTTGAATAAATAAGTTCAACAGAAAAGTACACTCTCACCGCCTAACACTCCCTCTACAGGAACAACTGGAAAAAGCTCAAAATCTTCAAATTGGATATATTCCCTAGTTGAATTGATAAATGTAGTTCAAGAGAGTATTCATCCATTCAGCCCTTATGTAAAGTACTTCTGAAAATCAGGTTTCTCTCCGCTTCTTGTAAACAATATACTGCAAACACACATGAAATTTGTTTTCTTAACAGAGGGTATGTTTGGGTTTAGTGTTGGTAAATATTAGCAGGAAATAATTGAAAATTCCATGACGCATTTCACAAGATCAAGTGTGGTAAAAGAGCTGTGCATTAGTCATTGCCTTTCAGCTTGCGGAATTCTGAGGAATAATTTTAGCTTGCAAATAAAAAACAGTGTCTTGGGGACTGAATGCAGTAGCTGTCAAAAAGCATGCAACAACCCTAAATAATCTAAAGGGAAAAGAAATGGGTATAATGAAAGTGCAGAAAGAATTTATACACGTGTCTAGAATACTGTAGATTAAACAAAGCAAACACCTTCTACTACCAATTTCAATAGGCCAAAGGACTTGAGCATAAAGTTGTGAAGTTTTCTTTCCAAAGGCTGTGGAAATGATGAACTGGTTTTTTCTGAGATGATCCTTTTTTAAACAAACAAATCCCTCAAAACTATTTTTTTTCCTAGACGATCCATTTTAAACAAACAGCTCTCTCGAAACAAACAGGCCTCTTTGTTCAGTTCCTTATATTCAGTTCCATATTTTAATAACTATGTGTAATTAAAAAAATTAGTCTTACTTGCTCAAAGTATGTAACATTTCTGAGCAACAGATTTACATAAACTATTAAGTGCATTAGATAAACCAACAAAGCAGTATTTAATTTTATTTTTTTTTGGCACACAGCTGCTTCCAGTATTTTGCATAGATGTTTGAGAATAATATGTTAGTCATAATAACTTTAATTTAGAGCTTGGGCCATACATGATCACTCATATCTGTTGAGCACGCTGTATTTTCCACCAGAGGACAGTTGCTCTTTGCAAAGTCTTCAGGGCAAAGATAGTGTCTTGCTTTTCAGTATTGGCAAATATTAAATATATGTGGACAAATTGCAAAAATACTGAAATTATGGGTGCTAAGAAGAATGTCCACGGCATTCTGAAGTTAGTTTTAAAGAACAGTGTCAACATATTTGGAAAAAACTCTCTGAATATTAAGTCCAAACAAGATAGATGTATCCATACAGAAAAAAATGGAGTCTCTGTTCACTTTTATTGAAGATATTGAAACAGTCCTGGTACTTTCTAAGAATGAGGCTTAAGCAGACTTTAGACATGTAAACCCAAGATCTTTTTATTACTCCCAAAACACCTAAATCTTGTATTTTTGAACTCCATCTCCAAAGTAGGGAAACTAAAGTCTACAGTAAAAACCCAAAGCCATGCCTGTTGCCCTGTACATCATCTATTAATAGCTCAGACTCTTTAGCTTAGGAATCTAGTTCTCCTCTCCATAATTTCCCACAGGATGCCTGTGTAGCTCCCATACCTATGGGAGAGGTGAGATTCAGCCTCTTAGCTGAAAACAAAATTGGGATTTCAATCTCAACCCCACAATACCAAGATCAATCCCAAAGTCATGGAGACGTGAATGAAGATGATCATTAAGCACTACTAGTATAAAGAAATTCAGTGTTAGAGTTTTGAAAAATCACATGCAGAAAACCATGGGCTGCTGATTCAGCCTGAAATGAGTTCAGTGGGGTTTACTTCTCACTGCAGGATAAGTGTAAGGTACAACAGTTCACCTTTGTCATTACAAATAAGAGCATATATCACAACATAGATTTTTTTTAAAAATCACGCATACAGCAATAACAAAATTAGTAGATAGCAAAACTACAGCTTAATATACTTTTGCCCAAAGTGCTTACATTTTTTTAACGATTTTTTCCCCAGGCAGAGACTGTGAAAGGATTACAAAGCGCACAGTGAAGCAGCAGCTGCACGTATTTTGGAATTCTGACTTCCTCAACTGAGGAGAGTTAAGGATCTTTGCAAGGCAAAACGTTTTTATCTGGAAGAGTCTGAAGGGGTTAGATACACAGAGTGATAAAACGCATCAGTGTTCATTGCATACAGCTTTGAATAGGAAGCCCAACTGATTCCTGAATGACATACACGTTATTCCCCTCTAAAAGACTTCAGTCTATTTTCTTACTACTGTTTGTGAGGAGGAGGTGGAGTGTTCAGTGTTGCTTGGAATGTTCAATCTCCTTTAATGTAAATTTACAGGTAAGAACTTTTTCTTACATACAGTTTCATTAGGATTAATTTTTTGCTCATTTTTAGCTGAGACAACTTTAGCATCTTTTAAAAAGTTCATGAAAATACACAGCAAAGACATTCAGTGTAATATAAGAGATCATATTTTGTAGTTCTGAAATATTTCTGTACTTGGTACTTTCTGGTAAAGGATGCCAGCAACTGAGATTTTGATAGAAAAAGAACCCATC